AGACCCTTCATTTCTGAAGAAGGGTCTAGGCCCGAAACGTCAGCCTTCCTGCTCCTCTGATGCTGCTTGGCCTCCTGTGTTCATCCAGCTCTACATCTTGTTATCTCAGATTATCCAGCATCTGCAGTTCCTACTATCTCTGTCTCATGTTTCTACTTTGCAGAAAGATGTTTTCCTTCCACACAAATCAAAAGTATGATGTTTCAGTTTTAGTGCTGCTGTGATGCCAGTACGTCAACTCGAAGTCTCAATGACTGGCAGATTGTAACAAACAATATATCCCTTTGACTACCTGCAGTGGACAGAGTGCCAACAAAGTACAACCAATCTGTGCTTGCAAACTTCAAAACAACATATTCAAATATTAGACATTCAAACATTAGAAACTGTTACTAGACACTATTTACTAAATAATCCTGACGTGCCAAAAAAACACAGGCAACCAATTTAAGATTACCACTTGGGTTCATAATGTGACTCTTGTGCACTATACCTCTGTTCTCATTGTTGTACTTCACTTTAGCTACTTCAGAGCATATACGGACAAGAGGGACATTGCACTGGCATGGCAACAGACAATTTCATCAGTGGCATAGTGGCTCAGTGGTTAGCACTAAGCACTACTGCCTCACAGTGCCAGGGACCTGGGTTCAATTCCACCCATGGGTGACTGTCTGTGTGGAGTTTGCACATTCTCCCCATGTCTGTGTGGGCTTCTGCTGGGTGCTCTCCCATTGTCCAAAGATGTGCAGGTGAGGTGGATTGGCCATGCTAAATTGCTCATACTGTCCAAGGATGTGTAGATTAGGTGTGTTAGCCATGGGAAATGCAGGGTTACAGGGAAAGGGTAAGGGGGGGTGGGTTGCTTTTCGGAGGATCAGTGTGGACTTGTTGGGTCGAAGGGTCTGTTTCCACACTGTATGGATTCGATGATGATGAAGAAAACTGTGAGATTACTGCTTTGACATGGAATGGAAGTGATGTGACACACATCTTGACAAAAGGAATGATCATAAAGTTTTGTACAGACGTCGAAGCCACATTGTTGAAAGTTGATCAGTGATGAGTTTGGAAGTGCTTGTATGGGTATCAAAATGAGGATGAATATGATGTGCCGACAAATTCTATAAATAGTATTTATTTGAACTACAGTTATATAATGACCCAGGTTTGCATTGAATTTGCATTATATCTAATTTTAATGTCTAATACTGTGAAATAATGTAATTTAATCGACAACAAAGATGACTCAACACATTGGCATGATGCCCCCAACTGCTCCTTTGGTGCATACACACACAGCTGCCCTGAGCGGGCAGTGATGTTACACCAGTTTAATTCATGTAAATGATTAAGTTAAGAGTCCTGTAGGGCTCTGATATTTGCCTGTTCAAATAGATATTAAGGTAACATTGCATTAGTTCAGAAAAAAAACAAGAAATATTTGTTGTGTCTAGATTTACATTCCTCTCAACAAAAATACTTTGAAATGCTGAAAGCAGATAGGCGGCACAGGGAAGATGAATTTGGCAGTAGCAATGAATCAGAAACTATGATAAATTTCCCTTTGACCTTGCCTTCTCTCTGTACAGCTCCCTTCCATCTCAATAGCTTTCACAATCAATGAACTGCCTACCACCACTTTCAACACCTCCAGTATGATGGTATCACCAAACACGTGTTGGCCCCCCCCTTCCACCATTCTAAAGTCCTCATTAACACCCGGTCCATTCCTCAATCACATCCTTCCTGTAGCTGCTTCCCATTTAAGTGAAATACCTGCATTTTTACCATATCCTTTCCCATCTTCCAAGGCCCAACATCTTCCTTCCAGGTGAAAGAGCAATTTATTTGTACTTCCTTCAATTAGGATATAATGTATTTGCTGTTCATGTCACAGTTGAGAGGATTAAATACAGGCTGTGTGATTGCTTGGCTGAACATCTCCATTCAGTCAGTCAATGTGATACTGAGTAATAAGTTACACACTATTTTAATTCTCCAGCCCCATTCTGACCTCAGCCTCCTACACTGTTTTAATGAAGCTGAACAGCAGGACTTACTCATCAATAGATTGCTGTCTGATATTCAGTTTCAATTCCACCAGGGCAACTCAGCTCCTGACTCATTACAGCCTTGGCTCAAACATGGACAAAAAAAAAGCTGAATTCCAGAAGCAAGGTGACAGTGACAGTTGATTTTCAAGGCTGATTTTCATTCAGCGTGGCAGCAAGGAGATCTAGCAAAACTACAGTAAATGGGAATCAGGGGGAGAACTCTCTGATGGTTGGAGTCATACCATACAGAGGAAGATGGTGATGGTTGTTGGAGTTCATTTCAGCTTCAGGACATTTCTCCTGGAGTTCCTCAGGGAAATGTCAGAGCCCCAACCATCTCTAGTTGCTTCATCATTGACATTCTCTCCAATATAAGGTCAGAAATGATGTTCCTTCATGATTGCATAATTTCCAGCGCCATTCACAACTCCACAGGTACTAAAGCAGTCCATGTTAGAATGCAGCAAGACCTGGACAATATCCTGGCTTGGGTTGCCAAGTAGCATTCATGCATCAAAAGTCTCAGGCAATGACCATCTCCAACAAGACAGAATTTGACCATTGTCCTTTGGCATTCAGTAGCATTATCAACCCTGAATCCACCACTATCAACATTCTGGGGGTTACCATTGACCAGAAACTGGACTGGGCTAGCCATATAAGTACTGTGGGTCCAAGAGGAGGTAACAGGCTAGGAATCCTGCAATGAATAATTCACCTCCTAATTGCCCAAAGCCTGTTCACCATCTACAAGACACAAGTCAGGAATGTGATGGAATAGTCCCCATTTGCCTGGTTGAGTGTAGCTCCAATGATATACAAGAGGTTTAACACAAACCAGGTCAAAGCAGCCTGCTTGATTGGCACCACATTGACCAACATTCACTCCCTCTACCACTGATGCTCTGTAGTAGCAGTGTGTACCACCTACAAGGTGCACTGCTGAAATTCACCAAGCTTCATTTGACAGCATCCTACTATTTGGAAGGACAAGGGCAGCAGAAACATGGAAACACCTATAAGATCATCTCTGAGCCACTCACTCATCACTGATCCTTCAGTGGTGCTGGGTCAAAATCCTAGAACTTCCTTCCTAAGGAGATTGTGAGTCTACCTGTAGCAAATGGACTGTAGCAGTTCAAAAGGCAGCTTTGCCCCACCTTCTGAAGGACTATTCTGGATGAGCAATAAGTACTGGCTCACCCAGAGATGTCAACCTCCACAAATTAATTTTTAAAATGCTCTGACTGATTATTTTATAATTTTCTAAATGTCCTGCTATTATGTCCTTAATGTTGGATTCCAGCAAATAACAGTTGTTAGGCAAACTGGCCACATAGTTTATAGTTTTTTTTTTCTGAAGAAGGGTCTAGGCCCGAAACATCAGCTTTCCTACTCCTCTGTTGCTGCTTGGCCTGCTGTGTTCATCCAGCTCTACACCTTGTTATCTCAGATTCTCCAGCATCTGCAGTTCCTACTATCTCTGGCCACATAGTTCCTTTTCTTTGATTCGCTCCTTTCCTGAATAGGAGTGTTGCATAATTTCTAAAATTTCCAATGTCTTCACAAAAAATGGTAACTCTTCAAATGTGAGATCTGATAGTGTCTCTGACTCTGTATTAAGCAAACCTCCACCCTCTCCCCTTACCCTCTCTCTTCTGTCCTTTTTAATAACAGGAAGTAGGTACCTTTCAATCACAAATAAACAATCTGAACAAACCTACAGAAATAGGATAAAAAACAAACTTTTAAAAAATTTTAACAGTGCTAGTCAATTTTTATAAATAAGCCATGCTTCTATTCCCCAGAGGGTCCTATTTTTATTTCTCAGCTGTAAAACCTCCATCTCTAAGTTGGATCGACCTTATGTGGCAGATATAAATATAATTTTAAGATCTCATATCTAAATATAGTGCTGTAATGTGTTGGGAACTGTAACAACCATTAATGGTAAAAGGTGGGGTTTACTAATAATGTTCTTGTTCCAAAAACCTTAACACTCACAAATATTAAACTTGAAGTACAAACAAAATATTATCTGAAAGATGTTAAGTTCGTTTCCACAATGCTTTTAAAGTCAAAAGGTGCTGTGAAGTAAATTTAGAAAACATTACTCAAGTGAATTTCATTTTATCCAATTTGCAAGCAATTTGGAAAAAGTTTCTAAAACTTTGTAGATGATGTATTTTATGTACTTTGCTAGTTTTGTCAGGCCTTCTGCCTATTAAAAAAAAGACACGATTAGTAGTGATCAAATTATCAGCTGCCAAATAGGATCTTAGTTCAGGGTGACAGACAATTCCATGTGCAGGAGCAATAGGGCAGCCAGATCTTGTAACAGCAGCCTTGAATACATTGCAAGGAGTCAACTCCGAGTGAAAGGAAAGGACAACGTGAACTTGGTAACATTTGGCTTTTTTGTCATTTTTAAAATGTCTCTATCCTGGTAAAATGTTTTGTGTTTTCATGTGAAGGATTGTTTGAAATTGTAAAACTTTGTTCTGCATGATTATTGAAATGATTATAATCTACAGCATTCACAGTTATGTCCAATGTCAGTTAACTTTACATATTTTATGCACTGTGTAGAGCAATCTATCTGTAAAACATTGCAAAATTTATCTTTTATATTTTTCAAACACTATAATTCTGCACTGTCAATTTGTTATGATTCTCCTGTCTCAGACTTTATTAGACAGTTTCATCAATGAGAAAGTATATTTGGTAATCTGTGGCATTGCGCCACCTCTGTTGAAGTACCTGTTGAACTTTACTACATACTGTTAACTTAAAGTAAATGTAACATTAAAAACAGCTATGTTTGGGTTAATTGGAGGTTGGCTGATTGCTAATACATATTCTAGACTAAAGTATCCACTTCACTAACATTTGTCTATTATTAGTAAAGATTAAATTACACAAGGAATGTTTGATGTCTGTAAGATTCAGTTGTGACAAGAGTTTGAACAATTTAATTGATAGAAAAACTGTCAAGTGAAGACATGTAAGAGATATGCCAGTACTGTTTACCATGTATGAACATTTTGGTATTGGTTGATACTTGCTACATTTTAAGGATGATTATACAGTAAGAGAATATAGCCAAAATAATTGAGAGGCATATCAGCTTTGGGGATATCACCCAGGAATAGTTTACACTTTCAATATTGCAGGGCAAGATCACATGGAATTGATTTCCAACTAGTGAAAGAAGTTCTGTATTTGGAAAACTGATGTCAGGAGACTTCATATCTCATGCACTTCTTATGACACAGACATTAAATTTAATTAAAAGCTGAAATGATTGCCAGAAGAATGTAATGTAGGCAAAGTCAACTGATCAGAGATTTTTGCACAGTCCACTGAGCAGCAATGGAACAGGCAGTTAAATTCACTTTTGGGATTTTGCCAGTTCACTGGAGATGGAATGGAATGCAGGAGTGGTGGGAAAATGGCTGCAAAAGGCATCAGGAAGGAAGGCTATCCTATTTACTCTTCCACAATGTATCCCCAAATGTAGGAGAGGCAACAGCTGGGATTTCCACTCACCCAGGGCAGACAGCCAATTAACATAATTCAAAGGCCAAGCAATAGCCATTTATCCCAGGTCACTGTCATTTTCCCAGCAGTGGCACATCGCCTTACCATGTGGAGAAGCCTCCAGCTGCATGTATTTGGCCTCCTGGTTGCTCCCTAGGATGGGAGAAGAAAGCTGAGTTTATAAAGATTCCATATTACAAAGTAGTAAGCCCTTGGGAGCAATAGCCTTCTCTGCAGCTCTCCCTGCTTTCATAGCACCGCTGAAGGGGTTACTTCTCCAAACTCTGGAGCCTGCCTGAATGGATCTCCATGTAGTGGTGCCCTCTCTTTCTGCCTGCAGCATCAGCAGTGGTCACTACTATTGGTTTTGTTGCTGAGTTTGTAAGAGCTGCTGGTCCAGACAGCTAGCCATTCCCATTGGGATAATAGTCCTGGCCACTGCCAAGAAGATTGTCACCACATTCCCTGTGTTAGTATATTGTCAGAGGCTCCCAGTGCTGGAGGATCCCTACATTCCTAGTGCCAGGAAGATTGCCAACCTGCTCATGGTGCCGGAAAGATTGTCACTGCAGTTCCATTGTTCCCAATAGGGGGCTCAAAATGCACAATGAGTCTGGGCACTGGAAATTATTTTGTGGTAGCAAAATCCCTGACATGCCCTCAGCTTTATTGATCATGGGAGAAGGGCACCTACCAATTATTAACATGGTTCTTCTTTAAATTTGCATTCCGGGCTTAGATTAAATCAACATGACTCGACTGCAATCCTAACCATCAGCCTGAGTGGGTAAAGGTCGACTCACCCGAGTCTTGATTTGTCTGAGTGCCAGGGACTGACTTTTAACCACTGTTTTCTTGCCACACAACATTGCACCCAGCTGCCAGGTCCTGCTGACTCTAGGCGGGGTACTGTCTGGGAGCACATGAGCAAGCTCCAGACATGAAAATTGCTCCAGCTTCAGGCTTATAATATCAGGTCGGTGTTGGTGAGAAGGGGTGCCAACACCATTGTGCGCTGTCCGTTCATGTCATACATGGGAACACCCACCACCTGCCAGTTCCCCTCCAATCCACTCACCATCCTGACTTGGAAATATATCATTGTTCCTTCACTGCCACTCGGTCAAAATCATGGAATTCCCTTCCGATGGGTCAACCTATAGCACAGACACTGCAGTGGTTCAAGGTGGCAGCTCATCACCACTTACTCAAGGCAACTACAATGGCAATAATGCTGGCCCAGCCAATAATGCCCATGAGTGAATATATGTATGTAAAAAAAAGAAATCGGGGTTTAATCTCTTGCTGGAATTTTATTAAAACAATAGTTGATGGATCCATTTACAGTTGGAATTCTGGTACTTTTTATAAACAAGTGGCTTTCTGATATTGACCCCATGTCATTAATTCTATTACTGCTGAAACTAAGATCAAATGCTACTACTAGCTATGGCGCCTGACATTCAACTTTTCATTTAAACAATCTTCCCAAGGGCATCTCTATCTTTATCCACATTCTGTGCTGTGACCCACATTGTTGGCAACAATTTTACATTCTTCCTCAGTCTAACTTGGCAATGACGCTGGCACAACGGATTAAACCATCTTCAGTGGATTCAGATATTGTAGGCTTGCCTCCTGAATTAGGAGTTGTGACTTCAAGTCCTTGATCAGGAGGTTTAATCACCACTTACTCTGAGAAAATTGTCAATATTGATGCAGTGCTGAATCCCATTCTTTTGACATAACATTAAATTAAGGTCCTCTCTATTTCAAAGATTCAAATCAGTATAACCATTCCACGACAGCATACAAAGCAGAGCAGCAAATTCACTTTGAGTCTGAAGCAACATTCCTTTCACAACTGGGAGCAGTGAAAATGACAATTAACCAGGTATTTACTTGATTGCAGTGTGTAAAACAATAGCTCTATTTCCTTACATAACAACCAATCCTTACAATCAAAACAGTCCTGATATTTACCAGGATGCATTTTGGAATAGTGTGAGGGGTTAAACCCAGTGGCTCCATTCACCGAAAGATAGAGAATGAGAGGGCATAGACTGGAAATAATTTGCAAAAGAAGCAAATACAATGTGGGAAAACACATTTTCACACACTGAGTAATTAGGATGCAGAATGGCACCACCTGGAAACATGAAGTAGGCAGATTTAATCAAGGAATTCAAGAGGGTGTTAGATGAATATTTAAATAGGACCATATGTAGGGATATGTGGAGAAAGTAGGAGAATAGTACAAAGTCATCACGGTCATTTCTCCGGGTGCTCCGGTTTCCTCCCACAGTCCAAAGATGTGCAGGTTATATGGATTGGCCATGCTAAATTGCCCATAGTATCTAGGGTGGGAAATGCAGGGATGGGGTGGGTCTGAGTGGGATGGTCTTTGGAGGGTCTGTGTGGACTTGATGGGCCAAATGGTCTGCTTCCACACTGTAGGGATTCTATGATATCATGACCTTCCATCTATTCAAAGAGCTGGTGCAGTCACGATGGGCTGAATGGTCTCCTTCTGCTTTGTAACAGTTCTGGAAGGATGGGCATAGATTTGATAAAGATTTGCATTTATATTGTATCTTTCATGACTTCTGAACATTTCAAAGTACAATGTATGGCCAATTAAGTACTTTTGCAGTGTAGCCTCTGTTGCTAGATCAGAGACAGTCAGTATGGCATACAGCAAGCTCCTACAAGTCCCAATACAATAGTGGCCAGATAATGCTTTTGTGTAGCCGATAACGAGATAAATATTGACCAGGGCATTTGGAATAACTCACCTCTTCTTTAAAATGATGTAATGGGAACTTTTATGTCCACCTGAGAGGGCATTGTGGACTTCAGTCTAATGTTGTGAACAGCATCTCATTCAGCATAGCACTCCCTCAATACTGCACTGTTGTGTCAGTCGAGAGTTTTGAGCTCAAATCCTGCACTGCAACTTGAACACATAGCCTTCTGACTGAGAGTGCCACCAAATGAGCTATAGCTGACACCAAAGACTTTAAACTTTAAAGGGGTTGCTAATAATTTCTGACACTGTGTATCTGGGCAAGACTTCCTCAACTGATCTCCTGATAATTAACTGGTAATGATAAATATACTCAATTCAAAAAAATGTTCCTCTTCTATACCATCACCAGTTATCTCTCTCTAACAAATGAGCAGCTATAGTTTGGCAGGACTATGGTGACTTTATCAGTCAATGGTCTAATAGTCACCTGCTAAGCTTTGGGCAGTTATGGTACTATAGACTGTAGGCTGGGATTTTCCTCTTCAGTGGCAATTTTCCCTTGATGTGCAGTAAGGTGGGACTTCAAGTAGTTGTCCAACCACTAATGATCCTGAAGGATTGTCATGGACTGTTATCATTAAATTCCTTTAGGTGGGTCCCCAGTGTAGTGTCCGCCTGCACTGGAGGAAGACTCGTGGATGAAAAATCAACCTTCAGTCATACCTTGGTACCTATGGGAATTTAAAAATTAGCTGCTGCCAGGACAAAGAGAAGGGGCACTGAGCTTCAGTGCGTCATGTTGGGAGGGATGTGAAATTCAATTGCCCCTTTGTTATTTAATAATTACTTTTTGAGTGGTAAATGACAGCTCTAGCAATGTCATTATTATCCAATTACAGATTTTTAACATATTGACCTTACACCGACCCATTTTTGTGTTTCCTATTATATGTGACAAGACTTTTCAGACATATACAACAAAGTGTTTTATTAAAGTTGTGTTTCGTATAATCATTCTTTATGCTTAGCGGTGCAAGTGACTGAAAACGTGACACATAAATCACTTGCTCACCCTATTGACACATAGTGGCACATAAGTTCAGTTAGAACGTTTAACCAGGGTGAAAATGGGCACAGATTTTTCAAATGATTTTCTATCACTGCTCACCAGAATCCCACCAGCCTTCAGAGGAAACTTCCACCTCAATCTTTCCACTGAACATCTTACAGACTTTATGAAACATTCTCACATCAACCAATCAATAAGTCTTCTATTTTGTTTTAACACAATAAAGTAGGATGAATCCATACTTTGCCACTGCTACAGCAATAAATATTAACTTTAATATAAAATGACCACATATTTGTGAACTTGTTAGCCTCCTAACTGTTCAGGCAATATGAACTTGGGTCTTGGACTCATTGGACTTACTGACTGCTGAGGATACATTGAGGAGATTGGGTCTCTATAGTTGTGAAGAGTGAAAAGTGATCTCATTGAAACTTACAAAATTCTTAAATTGTATTCTAGGGTGGAATGTAGAGTAGATGCTTCCCTAACTGGATGGTGTAGAACCAGGGGTTATGATCTTGGAATAAGAATAAGCCATTGAAGACAAAGAGTTCTTGTGAATTCTTTGTTTCTACCTCATCTAGTTCCCTCATAGCATAATCAGCAGGACATTTTATCTCATTAATGTTCATCATTGAAGACTATTGTTCTCTCAAAACAAGTATTTTCTTTCTTAGAGTATCCTAGATTCCCGGACTAGGCAGTTGGAATTTTTTCACTCAGAGGGTCTCAATTCTTTGATGTTCCCTAACCTAGAGGGTCGTGGAAGCTCAATCATTGAGCAGATTCAAGACAGAGATTGTTAGATTTCTGGATATGGATGGCATCAAGGGGTATGGAGATAGTGTGGGAATATGGCATTGAAGAATGATCAGCCATGATCTAATTGAATGACCTACCATGCACAACAGGTTGAACGGCCTACTCCTGTTCCTATGTCTCTATCTCTCGTAGTGAGTTTCTGAATTATAAATAATGTGGCGTTGATAGTACTGTTACCAATCCACTAAAAATGTAATGACCACACAGAATGCCGGAAAAATTCAGCAGGTCTGCAGTATCTGTGGAGAGAGAAACAGAATTCACATTTTGAGTTTGGTATCACTCTTCTAAAAAGTCTGTTCTGAAGAATAATCATTATCAAACTTGAAGCATCAACCCTGTTTCTTTCTGCACAGATGCTGCCAGCCCCGAGTTTCTCTAGCATTCTGTTTCTTCTTCAAATTTTCAGCATCTTCAATAAAAATGTACATACTTAAAGACTTTGAACCATTTCTTTATTCATACATTAACGCGATAAGGGCGTCACTGGCTTGGCAGCATTTATTACCCATTCCTAATTGCCCAGCGGGCAGTTCAGAGTCAGCCACATTGCTGTGGGTCTGGAGTCACATGTAGGCCAGACTGGGTAAGGATGGCAGTTTCCTTCCCTAAAGGACATTAGTGAACCAGACAGGTTTTTACAACGATCAACAATGGATTTATGGTTATCATTAAATTCTTCATTCCAGATATTTTTATTGAATTCAAATTCCACCATCTGCCATGGCGCGATTCAAAACCTGGGTCCCCAGAACATTATCTGGGTCTCTGGATTAACAGTCCAGTGATAATACCACTAGGCCATAAAGAGAAAAAAAGTTCATTTGTTGTATTTAAACAGGATCAATCAACATTACTTTAGGAAGACTAGTCCATGTTATTTGACTGACTTAATGAAAAAAGGAACAATGTTCAGTGACAGTAATAAATATGAAAGAAGGAACTGCTGAAATTAAATCTGAGTATTAGCTTTATAAACAGATTTGTACCTGCTACATGAAAAAAAAAGACACATTTTAATGTAAGTGTAAAAGTCCAAAGTTAATAATATTGTCCTTGGATCTTCTATTGTCATTCACATCAGGAGCTCTATACTCTTCAAATATCCTTCCAGTAGAAACTTGTGTGAGTAATCACTGGATTGCTTAAATAGCTTTGTGCAAAAAAGCATAAAATTGTAAAGTTTTCACTAACATAATGAGGATAGGTTTACTTCATTTACACTTCATATAATACAAGCACTAAGACATTCTGCACTAGAATTTCTTTAGTCTTGCACAGTTCCCAGATCACTTAATATCCAAAAGTTGAATCTAATTAACTGTCGCATTTTCATAGGTACTGTATTCAGGAAATTTGAATTTGTTTAATACTTTTTACAATGTATCAAAGTGCTTCACACTTAATGAATTTGAATTTCAAATGTGATCATTATTGTCAAGTCAGCAAAAACACCAATTTGCATGCAGCAATTTGGCACAAACAGTGAATTAATGAATGGAGATAATCTGTTTTTGGAGTGAGAAATGGGAATAGGTACTGCAGGTATTTTTGTTCTCTGTTCCCTAACTACCAACTTTACCTCTCCTCCTGGCAATAGTTTAAGATTAAGCCAGTCCTTATGCAACGTTGGTGCCACATTTTCTCCTGACATGATTTTCCAATCTCATATTTGTGGCATCACGTAGACTGCCCATTTCCATCTCCGTAATACTGATCTCAGCTCATCTCTCAGGCCCTCATCCATGCCTATGTTTCATCAAGACTCTACAGTTCCAGTGCCCTGCTGGCTGGCCTCCTATATCCTACCTTCACAAACCTGCTGCAAATTCAAATCCCCTACTTGCCCCTCTTCTCTCTGCTTAACATTAGCTTCCAACCAAGCAATGTCTTGATTTTAAAGAGTCATCCTTAATGTCAACTCCCTTCATGACTATGCATTCATTGAACAGGAAAATGATGGCAGAAGAGGGAGGATGCAGACTGCTCAATCTCCGACTGCCTGGAAGAACCGGCCAGTTAAGAGCTCCCCCATTAAAAGAGTTCGATTTGGGATTAAGCTTTCCTTTGCATGTAGAAGTTGGGATGCTATGCTAAACCTATAAAAACACAAGTTAAACCCCAAGTTGAGTATCATGTCCAATTCTGTGGATCCCATTAGTAGGAAGGACATGAATGCATTGGAGACGATACAAGAGAGACATATGTATTAGAATGTACTAGGAATGAGAGATTGCAGCTTTGTGGATAGGCTGGAGACACTGGGATTGTCTCCTGAGAACAGATAAGTCACAAAAGAGATTTAAAAGAGGTGTTTGAAATCATAAAGTGTTTACACAGAGTAAAAAGGAATAATCTGTTTCCAATGCGTGAAGTGTCAATAACCAGAGAGTAGAGATTTATGGTGGTTGGCAAAAGAACTGAAGATAACACAAGGAATTTCTTTTTTTAATGCAACAAGTGCATAGGATTTGGACTTACTCAGCAGCTAGTGAAAACAGGCTCATTAACAGTGTTCAAAAGGGAGTCAAATAAATACTTGAAGGCAAAAACTTCTGACTTTACGAAAAGACTTAGAAAAGAGTTAGGAAATAGGACTAACTGCATCACTTTTTGGAATTTTTCATAGGCCTGAACGATCTTCTCCTGTGCTTTGTTGTTTGTTGATTCTAAAAAAGATTTTGCAGAATCAGTGTGATGTAAATCTTCTTTATAAGTCAGCATTGATTGTACTTTCTTGTACATCTTCGTTCAAGAAAATGTGTTCTATTATTGAGAATGTCATTAACTTACATTAAGTGTTTATGTATTTCCAGTAGGTGGCTTGGAGCAGAGCTTCATCATTCACAGTGAAAATGATATTTAAACAACTCTTCTGGCTGGTGGCTTTGGTTGGGCTGGGGCATTTTGATGAAACAACTGTTGAACCAGATGACACTGAAGCTGAACCTGTCACTGATATGAGCGAACCTGAACCAACTGCTGTTATAAGTGAACCTGAAGCTCCAGAAACTATTTCACAAGAATCCCCCAAAATAATTAACGGCTGCCCAAACTGGATGGCAGGAATACCTGGCAGTCCCGGACATAATGGTTTTCCTGGTAAACCAGGCAGAGATGGTCGTGATGGTGCAAAAGGAGAAAAAGGGGAAACAGGTAAAGGGCTTCAAAATGGATATTGATAACCTGGAAATTGGCATTGCAGAAAACATTTGAAAAACTGATCAAAATTATTTTATTCTGTTTCCAGGTTTTGCATTGTAACACCATTTAATCTTGAAATCTGTACAGTTTGGTCATTGAATTAATTGCACTGAGTGTGGTGAGATCTTACCACTTCTGTAGTGCCGAGTTAAAATTTTGCACCTTCAATATAACAGACATGTAAGTCACTGAGTGAGTAAAGTGGGATGCCCCAACAGATTATTTTCATGCTTCCTATTAATGAGCCTTTAGTGATGGAATTCATCATCTTCGAATTAAACATTCATGCCACAATCTCATTCAGATTATCCAGCACTTTCTCTGTTACGGTAATGCCTATGTTGGTGCTAGCCTTTGGTATCTACCTTATCTAAACAATTTGGTTGATTACCCTTCCAATTTCCACATATCTCTCAATCTTATTGGTTCATTTCTGACTCTCCCCACTCTGAGCTTCTCCCTATTGCATCATCACCATTCTCCCTTTTATAATAGTCACCTATAACCCTAACAAACACCTCTATTAGTCTACTTCTAACCACTTTTCCTTAAAAATTATACCCATTGCTCCCAAGATCCCCATTTCCTTCACTTTTAGTCTAAATGCTCTATTTGCCTCTGTGGCTTATTAATATAACAGGTGGTATATCCAGCCACTGGCTAATAAGGGGGAAGGTCAATGGTGAAAGAAAGAATATGCAGTTATTGTGGTATTTTCCCAGATGAACACTGCTGGCACCTTGTGGTATTTACCATTTCTACCAGTTTGTGGTACTGGGTTGCTTGAGGTAATTCACTGCCACCAATCATCAGTTATCTTCACTTTGTCTTGAGCCTATCCAGTGATTGGTACATGACCATACAGCATCTGCAGAAAAGGCATGGTTCTTAAATAATGTTTATCGCATAATAGCAATAATTACAATTACATTTGGTCAGACATAATTAATAGTTCCTCAAGGAGCTGGGACACACACAGCTGTTCCTCTGAAAGCCAGAGTAAGACTCCTCATTTCCAACAATAGACTGTGTGTGATTTCAGAAGGATGGATGGAGCCAATGTAACATCAACATTAACCCCTTCAGAATTATCACATCACACAACAGTAATGTAGTCCTAGGTTATAGTGCAGTAATGAAAGTACAAGTGAACATTTATTTTCATTACTTTTCAGAAATCAACAGTAACATCTGGACCACACATGTTAAGTCAAACTGCAAAATTCAAACATACACTTTTCCATAGGGTGCCCTATTGAAGACCCCTGACCACAATCAAATCAAATCCACTAAACTGATGAGCACTCGTCCTTTAACACTGTTAACCTTGCTGTTTAAAAAAAAATCCTTGAAGAAGTTACAACTTGTTGAATGTGGTGTAGTTTGGCTTTTAACAGTGTTCATAATTACAGCTGAGTAGCCCAGTGGCACTAACAATGTAATTTATATATTAGTAGAATGTCAAACTTCCATATTATGATAACAATCCCAAATACTCTTAAAATCGTTATTTACTTTAAGCATTTATATATGATCAAATCTGTATTTCATTCTCCAAAATATCGAACATTGAAAAGTGCAAGTTACTTCCTAGTTTGTTGTCTTTGAGAATACTTCAATATAATTGGCACGTTAGTCTTGTTTTGGGACAGCGTAGTTGCTGGACACCAGAGATCCACCTGACATGATGCCAGATTTAAACTAGGCAGAGTCTGCTGACATCCACAACTGCAGGCAACTGTGCATACACGTTAATCTGGAAAGGTATATGTGGGAGAAAGGGAGGGGAGAAGCAGTGGAAGAAGTTGGGGGAGGTGGTGTGGTGGTGGGGTGAGGAGAGGGAAGTGATAGGACAGGAGAGAAGCCCAGAGGAGGGGAAAAAGGGGATGGGGAGAAGTGGAGAGGAGTGGTGCACAGGTAAGGAGGATAGGGACAAAGGAAGTTGGAGGGAGGAGGGTGAAGGAAGGGGATAGTGGCAGAAGAGGAGGGGAAGAAGAGGTGAAGAGGGAGGAAGAAGGGGATACAGTGAGAAAGAGGGGGAGGGAGGAAAGGGGGAGGATGCAAGGGGGTAGTAAGGGGGAAGGGAAAGAGGGGAGGGGAAGAGGGGGAGTAAGAAGTGAACGGAGAGGAGGGTATGAAGGGAAGATGAGGGGAGGAAGAGGAGGAGGGGCAGGTAGAAGGGGGTAGTTGGAGGTTGAGGCAGAGGTGTGAGGAGAGAAGGGGAAGGAAGAGCGGGTTTGAGGAGAAGGGATTGGAAATCTCCGACAGGAGAGCAAAACTCAGTTATTTGAAAAGAATCTCACTTTTTGAGAATGATACATTGCCGTGACAATTATTTTCTCCCATTTAAAATAATGGGAGCAGACCTGTGTAAATAAAGTTTCTCTATCATGTGTTTTTGAACAGAATTGCTGGTTGTGATTTGCTCCATTAACTTTTCCAGTTAGAAGTTTACTTTTCCTAGACAATGTGATGTAAGGATTTTATGTCTGACACCTCTTCATACAGTATCATTCCTTTTTGATATTATACTATGTTATAAGGGTGGTGTACAGTGTGACTGGATCCCTCACAACAGCTACCTCCATACAATTTAAATGGATTCTCATACTTTCGCAGTCATGGCTCACCAGATTATTGCATCACCTAATGTAGCCCTGAGAGTCACTGATCAAGTAGGTGCCAGGTCTAGTTCTTTTATAGTCCATTCTGAACATACTTGGACGGCATCTGTTTATTTCAGCAACCCAGACCTGAAAATGTACTTGATTCCAGGCACAAGCCTCCTAGTTGCTGTCCAGCAGTGCCTGTTGGAAATAACACATCTGTGGCGATGGGCTTGACTTGTTCACCCATCATTATTGAGAGACTGTTACCACAATAAATTTCCATCTCACTGCAAGACAGAGTGCTCATTGGAGAACACATCAATTATTATTCCAATTCCACAGATGTCACCAGAATGAACATTGTGTAATGTGTTCCAACTGTGTGCTGAAGATGAGGATATACATCAGCTCAAACACTTGGGTGAAGAACTAAAGGGGTCTTGCCAAAATGGAATCATATCCCAGCATCACCATCCAGTGTCAGAGAACAAGTAGAGCTGCAGAAACACCTTGTAATTTGGTGAAAACACATCAGCTTTAACATAAAAGTACAAATTAATGGTATGCAACTGCACAAATTGTGGAGCTCAGTGCGCTTCATCCTACTTTCTCTTTTGTTTTAGGATTGCCAGGACCAAAGGGTGATGAAGGACTGCCTGGAGAACCAGGTGTGGATGGAGAACAAGGGCTTCCTGGCCTGCCAGGACACAAAGGAGAAAAGGGAGACAGTGGTTATTATTACCGCTCAGCATTCAGCGTGGGACTCACCACAAGAAATCCTGTCCCAAACATCCCCATCAAATTCTCCAAAATCTTTTACAATGATCAAAAACACTACAATGAAGAGACTGGCAAATTCACCTGCCCTTATTCTGGGGTGTACTTCTTTTCATATCACATTACTGTTTATACTAAGGATGTCAAAGTTGGCCTGTACAAAAACAACAAGGTTATAATTTTCACTTATGATCAATTTCAGAACAATAATGTAGACCAAGCTGGAGGTTCTGTTGCAGTACATTTGGATGAGGGGGATGAAGTGTGGTTACAAGTTTATGGAGACAATACATTTAATGGGATTTATGCTGACAACAATAATGATTCCACATTTACAGGATTCCTTCTGTACCCAGATCTGCATTAAATAATTTTTATTACCATTACAGAATTTCTAAACACATTTTGTTAAGTTTGTCACTACTGACAATTTATGAGCTGAAAACACTAACCAGATAGCAAATAATAGTTAAACAATTTGCATATTTGTTATGGATCACTAATCTCCATAATAATGTTCTATAAGCAGTTTTCGTATTTCCCTATAAGATTGTCAATGAATAACTGAATAAATCAGATATTTAACGAACAATGCTTTTAATCATTCAAGTCTGTGCTTTATGTTACAAGCTAAGGTTTTAGCTGTGTATCATTATCACTGTAAAACTGGTAACATGAACTGTAAGGCAGTCACATTTTGGGGATTATTACATATATGTACAGTTAAGATGGAAGCAGCAGCTGTATTTCATCTATTAATAGACATTGTTATAATGTTAACGATGACTAAAAGACATTAAATATTCAAGACAGTCCTGTGTCACACTATGAATTTACCTCAAGATTCCATTTCAATACCTAGTAAATTGGTCACGATCAGTGAAGACCTTGTTCACAAAACACTTTGAGGTTTTATGGAATAATGAACTGTAATTAAAAATGTGTAAGTGTTAGCCACAATTTTATTCATGCTCCTTGTGCCTTGTAACTAGTTGCAAAGGATCAGGAGATGTGGTTGTTGACTTGCTCACTGAGCTGGTTTGGTTTTGTTCAGACGTTTCATCACCATGCTAGGTGACATCATCAGCGGAGCCTCTGAGGAAGCGATGTTATTCTACTCCGCTTGGAATTTACACTGTCTGGTCCATTATGGTGAGTAGTGTCATTTCTGGTTTTGATCTGTATGGGTGTGTATATGGGGTCCAATTCTACATGTTTGTTGATGGCATTACGGGTGGAGAACCATGCCTCTAGGAATTCCCCTGCATGTCTACGTTTGGCTTGGGCTACTATGGTTACCTTGTCCCAGTTAAATTGATGGCCTTCATTGTCCGAATGTACCAATATTAAGGAGAGTTCGTTGTGCTGTTTTGCTGCTAGCTGATGTTCATGCATTCTGATGGCTAGTTTCCTTCCTGTATGTCTGATGTAATGTTTGTGGCAGTTGTTGCCTGATATTTTGTAAACCACGTTGGTTCTGCATGTTGTGGGAATGGGGTCTTTAATCCTTGTAAGTGTTTGTCGTAGAGATGCTGTGGGCTTGTGTGCTACCATGATTCCTAGTGGTCTTAGGAGACTTGATGTCAGCTCCGATATGTTCTTGATGGAGGGCAGTGTGGCCAGTGTGTTAGGGCGTACTGTGTCCTCCTGTGTCTGTTTTGTAGGCATCTGTGGATGAAGTTGCGGGGATATGCGTTTAAAGCAAGGATCTTGTATAATTGTTCTTCCTCTTGCCTGCATAGTTCTGGAGTGTTGCAGTGTGGCCCATTTAAGTAGTGTCCTAATGCAGTTTTGTTTGTGGGTGTTGGGGTGGGTGCTGTGGAAGTTGAGGATTTGATTGGTATGGGTTGCTTTTCCATATACTGAGGTTTGGAACTCTCCATTTGTCAATTGCCCCACTTTAACGTCCATAAACAGAAGTTGATTGTTGTTTTCTTCTTCCCTTGTGAATTTAATCCCTGTGAATACGCTGTTGATGAGGTGGTGGATTTCTTCTAATTTGTTGCGTTTAATAATGACAAATGTGTTGTCTACGTACTGAATCCACAGTTTGGGTTGAATGCGGAGGAGGGTGGTGTGTGTTAGTCTTTGCATGACTGCTTCTGCGATGAGTCCTGAGATAGGTGGCCTCATTGGTGTACCGTTGATCTCTTTGTATATCTGACCATTAAGGATGAAATGCGTGGTGAGGCAGAGGTCTAGTAAGTATGTTGTCCTTGCTGATGGAGCTGCTGGCCTGCATTGCTGTTTCCTCTAGTAATGTGGCCACTGTTTCTTTGGCTAGTGGGATGTTGATTGATGTGAATAAAGCTGTGCCTCAAAGGATACCATAACTTCTTCGTCGCTGATTTTTATGTTCTTGAGGGTATCGAGGAAATCTTGGGTTGAGTGGATAGAATTGGGTGATCCGTCTACTAGGTGTTTCAAAGTGTGTTGTAGGTCCTTGGCCAATTTGTGTGACAGTGTGCCTGGTAGGGAAACAATAGGTCTGAGAGAGATGACTGATTTATGTACTTTAGGCAGTCCATAGAAGCGGGGGTGGGGGGGCGGGTGGGAGGGGGGAACAGGTGTTTGTGCCTTCTGGTTTCATTCTCACGAAGTCTGTCTTGGTTATCTGCCCTGCATTCATCAGTTGCTTCTGTGTCTGGGTAATCCTATTACCGAACTGTGGTGTTGGGTCTATCGCCACCTGTTGGTAAGTGCTTGTATCTGCAAGCAATGCCTGTACTTCCTTAACGTAGTCTGGTTTGTTCATAATGCTGGTCTTGCGCCCTTTGACTGCTGGTAGGATTATGATGTTCTTGTCTTTCTTGAGTTTATTTAGTGCTTTTCTCTCTGCTGTGCTCAGGTTGTCCCCTTTGTTCCTTCTGTGCAGTGTGGGGATTATAGTTTGTCTGATTGCTTGTTGTGTTTTTGTTGTGAGTTTGTTGTCTTTTAATGTATTCTCCAGAGCGGCCATGAAGTCTATTTTGCTCGCATCTTTGTGGTTATAGTTCAGTCCGTGTAATAGGACAGCTTTCTCAGTTTCTGTGAGTTGTCTGTTAGATAGGTTTCTTATGTTCCGCTTGGGAACCCTGCAGCCCAATGGTATCAATGTGGACTTCACAAGCTTCAAAATCTCCCCTCCCCCTACCGCATCCCAAAACCAGCCCAGCTCGTCCCTGCCTCCCTAACCTGTCCTTCCTCCCACCTATCCCCTCCTCCCACCTCAAGCCCCACCCCCATCTCCTACCTACTAACCTCATCCCACCCCCTTGACCTGTCTGTCCTCCCTGGACTGACCTAGCCCCTCCCTAATTCCCCACCTACACTCACCTTTACTGGCTCCATCCCCACCTCTTTGATCTGTCTGTCTCCTCTCCACCTATCTTCTCCTCTATCCATCTTCTATCTGCCTCCCCCTTTCTCGCTATTTATTTCAGAAACCCCTTCCCTCGCCGATTTCTGAAGAAGGGTCTAGGCCCGAAACGTCAGCCTTCCTGCTCCTCTGATGCTGCTTGGCCTGCTGTGTTCATCCAGCTCTACACCTTGTTATCTCTCTTCTTATCCATGTGTCCAGTTTGTTGTTGTCCTTGTTTTTGTGGTGGATCAGTTTGGTGAGTTTCTCCTGTAGTTCGTGTCTCTTCTTAGTTTTTGTTTTATGTTGATTGATGGTGATGGCCTGTTCTAGGGTTGTAGTCTATTGCTGGTCCATAGAATTTAGATACTGTGATTTTTGGCGTGCAATTTTTCATTCGTATTTGTGGGGTCAGTTATGGACATCAATAATCATTGCTCGTAGCATTCTGCATCTGTTCTGATCAGCTATTTTATATGAGTTGTTGAGTGAAGGTTTGTATTTCATGCTACGGGGCAGTACCTGGGTCCTGAGGCTTTTGTGGAGGAAGTGACGTTGTTCGTGGGTAGAGCTCAGTCAGTTGGCTAAGGTTTCCAAATTGTCTGGCAATTTTTAGCATGTTATGCCTGTAGTTATTTAAAGTTTTGGCAAAGATCTGTAGCTCGGGTTGTGGGTGAGGTTGTTGACTTGCTCGCCGAGCTGGTTTGTTTTTGTTCAGAC